TGCTCAAATCTCAATTAGACTGATCAAACCGGCCGAGCGACATGTGCCCCATTAGCACTCCAACACCCAAGGAAGTGGCCCCACCTTAATGCAACCAGATCAATTTCTGCTCCACGCACTTTACATTTTTCACCAATAATACCTCCAATCATTCCGTGATTCTCATATACTCATAAAGCCTAATACAACTCGTACCCCAAAATTCCTTTACTCAAGTCATCCTCGATCTCACCCTCCGCAGAACATAACTCATCCGCAAGTATACCTCAAACCTAAACCAAGACAATACATAACCGTGTAATCAACTTGTCAATAGCGGACTCCCCCACTTGGCTCAAAGCCATCGATCAAAACACACCATAACTCACAGTGCCCATACTTTATTACAGCCATAATTCCGCAATGAGATTCAACTAAATCCTCCATAAGCTCATGTAACACAAACCATCTATCTCAAATCATCTGCAAATCTCGCATTTACCCTTGTAACAATCAAGCCAACTCTCATAAGCGATCCAAACTCAAATTGCAACACATATAATTCACTAGTAAAAGAGAACTCGCTACAAACAACATAGGGGTCACACAAACCTCAGGACACCCCGTAGGAGATAACCCACCTGCTTTGCCTCAAGTTGACCTCTCTCTATGCCCTTCTACAGTCATAAACATTTCGATCACTTAACCCTCCTGAGTCTGAACTCACCTCACGACATGAAATCTACTTCACTCCTCAACTAAACAACATGAAAGATCCTTCAACACACCCATTGCTCAGGGCTATACGTAAAATCAAGATGAAAATCAAGCTCTTTACATTACAAGAAAACCCTTCTCGTCAAATTCAACCCATATGAACACAATCGACATCTCTGTGCTCAAGCTACAGTCAAAATTCGGCCTCAACTCCTCCAGACTGGTCCATTATCAGCATACCGAAATCATATCTCGCACCTCATCCAGGGAATCACAAGCCGTCGATGCACAGATGATACCGAGCGCTCATGTCGCATACGAATGCGTGGAAGAAATTCAAAGGATTACTCTTCAAGATGAATCAATGTCGCACGATAAGGAAAGAAAGATGGGAAGTATATCCTAAATGCCTTGTAGCCTCTCGAAGATAGATATGGACGTCATCATACCGATCTTCAAGATTCTACTAGACACTTGCTCATGACTTGTAGAACCCATGAACCTAGAGCTCTGATACTAATTTGTCACGACCAAAAATCCACCAGTCGTGATGGCACCTAACCCAACCCGCTAGGTAAGCCAATTAACAATTATCAATTTCCATTTAACTTAATAAAATAATTAAATAACAGAATCATCTAAATCTTATACATTTCCCAAGGACTGGTAGTACAAATCATGAGCTTCTAAGAATAGAGTTTACAAAGCTGTTATGAAAAAAATACATCTTCTATTTGAAAAGTACATAAATAGAATTTTATAATCTAGGCTATCGTGAACAAGAGGCAGCATACAGCAGGAACGCAGGTACGCCTTCTAATCCAGCAACCAAGGAATGCAGCAACATCGGCATCCAAGATCTGCACGCAATGTGCAGGAAGTGCAGTATGAGTACTGCCGACCCCATGTACTCAAAAAGTAACAAACCTAAAGGTTGAAAGCAGTAACGAGCTGGAACATAGGTCAGGTCCAACACCAATATCAAATAGCAGTTCATAACAGTGTAAAGCAAGTACATAAGAAGTAGCTCGGAGATAGAATGCTCAGACTTTTCATTTTTTTCCAAAAATAGTTCCGCCTTTCAAGAATATCAGTGAAAACCCAAGTTCTTTACCGAAAACGTCATGAAATATGAGATAGTTTGTAAACTGTATTTCTTTTTCAGAAAATCCTGTTTCACAGTAAATAAGATGTTTTATTTTCTTTCCAAATAGCATGTGTGAGATACCACTCTATGACCACATATCAATGTGTGTAAAAATGCCATGAATGACGTGATACCGTACAGCATGAGGAAAATGCGTCTCGATGCATGTATGTCATATATGCATGCCAAGGCCATGTACCTCAGAGATGAATCATGTACTCACACTCTCAGAGTACTCAACCTCACTGTATCACACTTTCCACTCATCATAACCACTCGGTAGTGTATATGGCCCACACGGCCCAGGGAAATCCATTCCAGAACATATACAACACTGTCTATAAGTCACCCAGTACTGAGGAAAGGCCATTCTGGCTCCATAGATCCATCTCCAGGTGTGTGTATATATATATATATGCTCAACCACTCGGTACTGTATATGGCTCATACGGCCCAGGTAAGATCCATCCCGAAATATACATCACTGACCATCAGTCTCCAGCACCGAGGAAATATGCCAATCCAGCCTCATGGAGAAGATCCTTCTCCATACCAAGGGAAGATCCATCCCTGAATATAATCAACCGCGCTCACTGGGGGTGTGCAGACTCCGAAGGGGCTCCTTCACCCCAAGCACAATAATAGGCCAATCGTGGCATAAATCAATATAAGCGCTGCGACGTGCACCCCGGTCCCATAACTGTCACTCATAATCAGGCTCTCGGCCTCACTCAGTCATCAATCTCTCCAGTCTCACCCACGGGCTCACAATGTCATGAAAACTGACCGGAACAATGATAAGATGTATTAATAAGTAACAACTGAGACTGAGATATGATATGAATGCATGAATGTGACTGAGTACGAAATATCGATGAAATCAATGAGATGACATCAAGAAATGACCACTATGGTTCCCAACAATATCAGCATAAACCCTAAACATGATATCTAGCATGATGTACATCTCATTTATTTTATCACATGGTGAAAACACAGATATCAACAAAATAGGGCCACTATTCAGCGCCCTGGAAACAATAGAGTCACAATTCACAGGGTGCACGCCCACACGCCCGTCACCCTAGCATGTGCGTCACCTCAACATCAACACATAGCACGTAATTCGGGGTTTTTGTACCCTTACCACTAAGTTTAGAAGAGTTACTTATCTTAAACAAGCTGATTCCGACACCGAGCAAGCCAAGCGATGCTCCGAGAATGCCATCACACGCGTAGCGACCTTAGTATGGCTCAGAACTAGCCAAAAGCAACTCAAATACATCAGATAAAGCCCAAGGAAGCAATTACAATTGATAAAGATCGAATTCTACATCAAATTCCAAATTCGGCCGAAAATCACACCCGGGCCCACGCCTCGAAACTCGACAAATCTCACAAAATCCGATAACCCATTCAATTACGAGTCCAACCAATACTAGTTTCACTCAAATCCGACTCCAGATCGGTGTTCAAAACTCAAAATTTCATATTATGAAACTTTAGGCCAAAACCCCCAATTTCCTCTTTCAATTCATCAACCGGAAGCTAAAATCGAAGATAGATCCATGAAATATAACCACAACCGAGTGTAGAACACTTACCCCTATTCATATGGCGAGAATTGCTCCAAAATCCACTTTATTTTGGTGTAAATATCACAAAAAGTCATTAGGAGAAACTAAAGAGGCATTTATATGATACTTTGGTAAAGTCGAATTACTTTTTTTGTGATTGTTTATGGTTCTTAGGCAAGGTTGAATGATTATTTTGTTATAAGAAATAATTTAGTGATTTTTGTAATATTTAAGCAAAATCGAATGATTTTTATGTTACAAAAATAGTATAGCTATTTTAGTTTAATAAAATAAAGGGAAAGTTAAATGATAATCTATGAAATCAACGCAAACAACTGAACAACAATAGCATATTTAATATATTCTTACATAGGAGTTGGGAAAACGCAAACGACTGAATAATAATAACATATTCAATATATTATCACATGTGGCGTTGGGGTAGGTATTGTATATTATGAAGGTAGAGAAACATAGCTGACTGAACATAACAATTAAGACCACGCGCTAATATAAGAATCTACGTTTCAAAAATAGAAATATCCATTTATTAATTGTACTTACTAGAGTTTATTGCATATCTCATTCACATACCACAATACTCTATATATGATTGAACCGTTATAAATAGAACAATCAAATTCTATTCATTTCATGTTAGAAAAATTTTTAACGATCGATCCTTGTTTTTTTTCCCTGTATAGATGCTAGAAATAGTGGTCTGTCTTATGGACTGATACAATTTTCATGTTACGCAGAGGGAGAATTACAAAACTAACAAATACATTTACATGCCGTCCCGGTTTCTTTTAATAAAGTTCCTCTTTCTTAAAGAGACACGTTCTTTCAAATTTTGGAAAGTGACATATTTGTCAGGCTTGTGATTCTCCTTCCATAGCATGGAAAATAGTATCAATCGGTAAATTAGCTCATCTAAATTGAAACGGAAAGAGTAATTAAGCTAAATCGAATGATTTTTATGTTACAAAAATAGTATAGCTATTTTAGATCCCGTTTGGATGAGCTTAATTTAAGTGGCTTTTAAGCCAAAATAGCTTTTAAGCCATAAGTTAGGAATTCTAGCTTTTGGCTTTTGGCTTGTTTTTGTCATTTTAGCTTAAAAATAAGTGCTTAAAAACACTTTTTTACTCTATCCAAACACTACAAAATGACTTAAAAGTTATTTTGGCTTAAAAGCAATTAAAATAAGCCAATCCAAAGGGGCACTTAGTTTAATAAAATAAAGGGAAAGTTGAATGATAATATGTGAAATCAAGGCAAACGACTGAGCAACAATAACATATTCAGTATATTCTCATGGGTGAAAATTGGAGAAGATAGTATATATGTAGATCTTACTCATAGCTTACGAAGGTAGAGAAACGTAATCACCGAATATAACAAATTAATACTACTAGGTGATATAAGATAATGTATATGTAGATTTTACTCATAGCTAATGAAGATAGAGACAAATAACGACGGGACATAACAATTAATATCACTATTAATTTATTAATTGTACTTTCTAGAATTTACTACATATCTCATCCACATACCACAATCCTCTATATAATTGAACCATTATGTAGAGCAATCAAATTCTATCCATTTCATGTTAGAAATTTTTTTAATGGTCAATCCTTGTTTCTTTTTCCTGCTTAGATGCTAGAAATGGTGGTCCTACTTATGTAATAATACAATTTTGCAGGATGAGAATTACAAATATGACAAATATATTTTTTTTTAATAAAGTTCTTCTTTCTTGCAAAGAGACATGTTCTTTCCGTTTTTGGAAAGTGACATATTTGGCAGGCTTGTGATTCTCCTTCCATGACATAGAAAATGGTACCAATCGGTAAGTGGATCTCCATGGGTTTGAGTCGGATAAAGAAACGAGTATATGATCGGACACTTTTCCGGCGCCGGCAATCTTTCGCCGGTTTTTCAGTTTTACGGTGATGATTTTTGAATAAAATTGTTCGTTTTATTCAAACCCCTAAATTGATTAACCCGTCGAATTAAATCTTGTTGATTTTTTGTGACTATGTCTCAGCTGTTTGAAACCCTAGTAAGCTGCTTCAGTTTAAATCCCCAAATTTGAACCCTAAATTGCTGTAACTAATAGACCATCAAGAGCATGTTGCCAAGTCTGTTCTTAATTGATCGGACTAATTTTTCTCTTTTAAGTAAAACTAAATTTGCTGATAAATTTTTCCTTCAAAATTTTGTTTTTTCCTGTGTGCTGTTGAGTTTAATAAGCATTTCTGATTTTAATAATAAAGTGAATAACTTTGAGCTGTGAGAAGAATGTAACTAGGGTTTCTTTAGTGTTCACTTTTAGTTAAGTTTTCACATTTTTACTTCTTTTTTGCTATAGCTTATTGGTGCTTTCTTCAATCCTGTAATGATTAGTTTCATCCATTTCCCAAAGTTTTGAACTTCAATTCCGTTTTCCAAGGAATTATCAAGTTCTGTTGCAGGAAAGTGAAAGGTTATTAAAGTTTCATGATAGGATTTCTTAGTTGCTGATTACTTTTCTTATTTGCTGAAATCGGCTTGTCTAATTACCTGTTATACCTGTTATGGTGCAGAATGTAGCGTCCTGTCGGGGAGAAGTATTGTGTGATTCTTCCAGTTTATTTCTTGTCAATACGTTAAGGCGATAGTGTGCTCTTATGTCTCAGTATTAGTAAAAGCTATAGTTGACGTGCCTTTTCTTATTAGATATATGTTGAAGTATGGATACTCTATGTATAAGTAGATATTTAGAATGGAATAAACTTATCCTACTATAGAATCTTACTATGAAAATAAGATGTGTAGATGAAAATGAGCGCCAGAAGTATGATTGCATCCGCGTATGCATCAATTGCATACCAGAATTGCTATGATATTGCCTCACTAGATCTGATGTAATGTTTTACCTCTACCACCTTCTTAACTTTCCGTGCCCCCCCCCCCCCCTCTCCCCAAAGGAAACCGGGAATTTAGCTTCGGCACCTATCCCCTGTGACCCTGCAAATATCTAGTCAAAACCTAATGTAACAGTTTTAAAAGAAGTCAGGTTCCTAACTTCCTTAGAACTTGCTGAAGTGTTTCTCTTTTGGTGGGAAGCATAGAACTACCCTGTCCTTTATTTTCTCATTTCCTGGTGATTATCAGACTTATGGCAGTAAGGAACATTATTCATAATGATGATACAGGTGATTACACCTTTGTGCTGACTAAATTTATTGGCTGGAGCTTCTCGGACACTTTGAAGATTGAAATGCCTTTTTTCCCCTTTTGGATTGGGGTTTTTATGCTGAAAATTCCTTATTGGAGACACTCCATATTTTCTAATTATTCTGATTGGTACTGACAACTATAACTTCTAATTGTTGTTGTTTTCTAAAGCTTGGTTTCTTTTGTGTCTGTGTCTATGTACTTCCATTGTTGACTATGAATATTACATGTCTTTGAATAATTATGATTTTTCACATCATAACGAGGAATCTCTTAAATGAGCCATGCTCTTTGAATAGGAATAGAATGTGTTGTTTTCAGTTCTTCACACTTTATGGGCCTTATTTTACTGATATGATGCCCTCTTTTCATATGTGTTGCAGTTACCTTTTTTATTACATCTGTTAGTGAGTATGCACCAGGTATGTTGTTGTTGTTGTAAGTCTGTATGCATCTAGAAAGCAAGCTGAAGAGCTAGATATAGAACCTTGGTGACATGTCTTGACTCAAGACTGTTAATTCTTGATCGTCGTACTCATACTAAGAAGTCAAAATTTGCACAACTACTAAGAAGCCAATTTGCACAACTACTAAGAAGTCAAACTAGTGAACTCTCAAAGAAGTCACTCTATGCAACTTGGTATGTCAAGATAAAACCAAGTATGTGGCAGTTATTCCTTGCATTGGTGAATACAACTTGGGTTATGCCCAGGACTACTTGTGATCTTTTGAGATGCTGGAACAATGTAGGTGGCTGGGGAAGGAAGAAGAGATGGTGGAGGGCTATACCAGCATGCATTTGGTGGAATGTCTGGAAGGAAAGAAATGATAGGTGTTTTGAAGATAGGAGGAGTTCTTTACAGAAAAAGAAGCTCAACTGTATTTTGTCCTTTTATTTTTGGTGTAAAGAATTTGCGTAGATGAAACCCAGACTTTATTAGAGTTGTTAGAGTCCTTGTAAGAAGAATCTTGGACAGATGTAAATAGGTCTCTTCCTTTTTTTTGTAATTGTGATTTCCAACACAAGCTTTGAGTTGATGAATAGACTGTTACCTCTATCAAAAAAAAAAAAAAAGATAAAACCAAGCAGCCCGAAATTAGTGGAAAGTTATTAGGAGACCTTTTAAAGAACTTCAATACTCTGGTAATTTTCAAAGTGCAAACTCAAAATCTGAAGGCGTGATCTGCTACTGCAATTTGATTAGGTCATGAAATTTTTGCAAGTGTTGCAACCTTTATGGTCATGAAATTTTTGCCAGTGTTGCAACCGTAATGTGTCATGCGGACAAAATAGCTGCAAGCTTTTCAACTAACATTGTTGTTGAGGGACTCGTTCCTAGAATGTTGTGGATAAGAGTTAGTATGAACAGTAATAGTTGCGCAGTGCTTATGCTTTCCTATTTGTATAGTATCGCTTATGTTGACTATCCCATTGAGGGTGTATATGACATATGGCTATTATGGGACATTAATTCCTTTAGAGACATAACGTTGATAGTTCTGAGCTAATAGCCTCCTCCACAGATAATTCCATCATTGTTTTTGGCTAAAATTACTGGCTGAAGATCCTCAGATTTCTTTGAGGTTTGAAGTCCTCTCTTTCCTTTTGGGTTAAACAATTGGACAGTCTTTAGTGTCTTCGTAGAATAGCAGTCAGCACGAAATAGCATTAGATGCCTGGGCAACAATTAAGTTGTTGGTTCAAATGAACCTTGATCCTAGCATAGGAATAATTTAATTTATGTTTTCTTAGAAGGAAAATTGAGTCAAACCAAACTGTTAAGTGTGAACACCTAGTCTGAAGTGATTAACTTTTCTAACTTAAAAGAAGTGCTAACCAATTACTGTAATCTCTACTTTTTTGTATTTGTCTGCAATAACTATATGTGCCCTCTAACCAATTAATTATTGTAATCTTCTCTTTGTTTATTTTCAGTTAATGTAATCTTCTATTATTCAAAAGTAGTAAAATGCATTTATCACTAAGTGAAAACACCATCATATCACACTTTCTGGTTGGTTGTAAATGGTGAAAGATTCATATCCTAACACGTGTTTAGTTTTTTTCAGATCGATCAATCTCGTCCCTTTTTCTATCTTAGATGCTAGAAATGGTTGTCCGTCTTATCAATTGATAATCTTTCATGTTATATGTAAGGAGAATCACAAACTTGACAAATATGCGTGACCATCTCTAAAAGAAAGAATACAGTATTTCCTGGTGCTTAGATAAATTTTTGTCATTTCATTTACAAAAGAATGCCCTGTTTGAAAAAAATGTCATATCGCGTTCTTGAAAAAGACATTTGTCAAGCTTGTGATTTTCCTCTAATGGCATGGAAATATTAACTGGTGAGTGGACCTCCATTCATCTGAGTTGGAAAACGGAATGGGTCATTGATCGGGTACTTCTCCGGCGCTGGAGCTGGAGCACTTTCACCGATTTTCAAGATTTCAGTGATGTTTTTGCATCGGTGAAATTGGTTTTTTCCTTAGAACCCTAGATTGATTGACCCTTTGAGTGATTCTTATCCTGTTCCATGATTATTTCTTGTTTTTTTGTGTGGATGTGTGCGGATTTTGGAACCTTATTAGCTGCTTCAATTCAATTACCAAATCTTGAATCCAAATTTGCTTTTAGAAGAAGCTAGGAAGATTTTGATAATGTAATTTCTGGAAATTGTTCTTTTATTGACTGTTATGATGTATGTATCTATAAATTCAAACGCTAGAAGATTAAGTTAGCTTACTAGTGCATCCACGAAACCGTAGATGAAACTAATTTAAATTATTTTACCGATTACGATTAGTAAGCTCTATTGCAGGAAACGGATATGTTTCTAAAACTCGACCATAGGATTGCTTGGTAAGTGATTTCATACTCATCTTTGATAAATCGTCTTGTTACTGACCTGCTATTTTTGAGCTTCTGTTTCTTAACATGTTTATCCTATTCTGTTTTTTGTTACTTGGCAGACTTTGGGTTTCCTTCAACACTTCCACATACGGATGGCTCATCTGAAGGAGTTTCTTCTGAAACGAGAGCCCGTCCAAATGTAAAACCTGTCTGGATACGCCCTGCTATTCTAGATTCATAAATGTTTGAGGAGAAGCAGCCACTTTGGAATTATCTTTGGTATATCTAAGTAATAGATTGCATGCTGATGATATATCTGAAGTCTGAACAAAGTGGAGAATGGAGACTCGTAATCCTGAAGTGTTATCAGGTCTTGGTGCACAAGGTAGCATACTGTCGAGGAGAAATTTTACGTACTTAATTTTACGATTTATATACATGTAGGCCATAGTGTTCTCCCATGTCTCATAAATAGTCAAAATTAGGGGTGTTCATAAAAACCGAACCAAACCGAAAACCAAACCAAACCGATCAAAAAAACCGACAATTTTTAGGTTTAGTTTGGTTTTGGTTTTGAATTTTAAAAACCGATCAAAATTGGTTTGGTTTTGGTTTTAATCAAAAAATAACCGAACCAAACCGACTATAAAAATAGCTATTTAAATTTATTATTACACCTGCATATATATATATANGACCCTCTCTAGGGCTACGATATATATATATATATATATATATATATATACACACGCACACACACACACACACACACACACTTATTTTATATGTTTCCGGATGATGGGCATAACGCGGGACATGCAGGCAGGGCTAGGATGGCTCTCTTCCTGAGGTATATGGTGAGTAGGGGTGTTCATAAAAATCAGACAAACCGAACCAAACCGAAAATCGAACCAAACCGATACTTTTTAGGTTTGGTTTGGTTTTGGTTTTGAATTTTAAATACCGATCAAAATTGGTTTGATTTTGGTTTTAATCAAAAAATAACCGAAAAAATCGAACCAAACCGACTACAAAAATAGCTATTTATATATATATATATATATATATATATATATATATATATATATATATAAGCTTCTAAAATTTATGGTACATATTAGTCATTTGTATTTTTAGTCTAGTTCTTTGCTATTATAATCATCTAATTATTTTCCTTTACATTCTAGTTTGATTGGAAGTTTTCTTTTGCTAAGTACTAGAATTTATTTCATTTTAAAAATAATTAATTTTTAATTGAGTACTTAAATTATTCATCACTATTTGATTCAATTATCATCAATAAATCTTGGTAAATGATAGATTTCTCAAAGAGCAATTGATTTGATAGTGTTATGTTGAAAATATAGTCGCCGTAATATGTGTTTGGTAGTGTATGTCTCATATTTAAGAAAAAACTGATAAATAACCGAAAAAACCGAAAAACCGACAAAAACCGAATCGATAAAAAACCGACTTAATTGGTTTGGTTTGGTTCTAATATTTGAAAAACCGACTTACTTGTTTGGTTTCTTTTTAGGGAAAAACCGACCCAAACCGAACCATGAACACCCCTAGTCAAAATCATAGTTGGCATCCCCTTTCTTATTAAGTGTATGTAAAAGCTTTTGATTCTCCTATGTATAATTAAGTAGCTCTTTAGAACCGAACAAAGTTGACCTACTGTAGAATTCTCGAATTTTAAAAGATGTTTGGAGCAAACTTTGCTATAGTTTAGAACATAGTTATGCTTGATCAAATTGTCAGTGCGATTATAGATGAGAATGGTGAGTGAACATCACTACGGTGTTTTGTGCTTTTTTTACCTCTGCCAACTTCTTAGCTATATGCCGCTCCCCACCCACCCCACCCCCAGGAAACCTGGAGGTCTGATTGCATCTACCCCCCTAACATTATCAAGACATAACCGAATGCCGAGAACCTTTTAGCTGATGAAGTTAGTGTCCCAACTTCATTAAGAACTTGAGGAACTATTTTTCTTTTGTTGGGTATGTAGAAGTCCAACTCACCTGCTCTTTGTATTCTCATTATCTGGTTATTAATTTCTTAAATTGTGATGTATCTGACTTTTGCCTGTTAAGAAACATTTAATGCAGTTAATGCTGAAGTTGTAGCTGCTTTCTACAGGCAATTCCACCTTTATTGCTAAAGCTATTGGCTGAAGCTTTGAGGTATGAAATCCCTTTGTTTATATATGTAGAATTCATGTTTCCCTCTGTCGTTCTCGTTTTAGACTCTAAATACTTTCTAACTGTCATGTTTGGTGCTAATAATCTTAACCTCAATCTTTTTCTTGTGTAATGCTGCTAGTCCTTGCCTCTGTCAACAATAAAGACATGCCGCCGCCTCATTAGGATAAAACACTTCATGAACCTTGTTGTTGCTCTTAGTATGGGAATAATCTAAGCTGCTACTTCATTATGATAGAACTCTTAAATGAGCCTTGTTCTAAGTATGGGAATAATCTAGGTTACTTTCAGTAATGCACACCTTATGGGACCTTATTTCACCTCCTTCTTAGACTCGTAATGAGTATGCATCTGGAAGGCTAGCTGAAGTGCTAGAAATAAATGTTCATAGACACTTTTTCTACTCGAGTCAAGAGTGTAACTCTCAATCCTCAGAACTCGTATTGGAGCCACTTCGTAGAACAAACTACGAAGAATTGAAAATACTAAATCTATCAAAGAAATCATTCCTATGCAACTTGGTATAATAAGTTGGAAAGTAAAAGCAAGCATGCTGTGGGAGCAATAGTTACAACCCTTAAATAACTGTCAAAAAGTAGTAGAAAGTTATCAGGAGAGCTTCACTTCAGTATCTTGGTAATGATTTAACTTAAAGTATGAACATGTGATGTACTATCAGAATTTGACTTTTTACGGCATGATATATTTGTGAGGGTTGCATCTGTAGCTTATCATATGGTCATATAGTCGCGGGCATTTCGACTGAATTTAATTCTTGCCGAGGAACTCGTTCCCCACATATTATGAATAAATATTTAGTTGCACATATTAACAGTTGTCGCGTCTCTCACTCTTCCTATTTATCAAGTAAATCCGCTTGTTCTCCACACTTTTGTTCCCATAGGTTGTTTTATTAGCCTTCAAAGGGCTAATCCAATTTGTAAACTTCTCAACACCAGCCTTGAACTATTAGTGCAGTTGTTATATTTCCATCGTTCTGAAATCAAGCTGGTTTGTAATAGTAGAATGATGCCTTTATATATTTTCCTTCAGTAGAAAGAATTATCTGCATTAGGAAAGGAGTTCAGTTTAGTGCTCATGTAATACTGCATGCCATTGGAAATTTTCTTGTTTCTACTTTCTTTGGTACTTTCACTGTTACAGGGATTGCCGCCTCCTGAGCCTGGTATATTCCATGTCTTCTACTTATCATTTCCCCCCAGGTATCCTTATGTTTTTTGTAGTTTTATGTACGTGTTATTGAAATGAATTGGCAGGATATCAAAAACCTGTGAGGGTAAAGTCAAGCTAATATATAGGATGACTGTGGCCAAATGGAGCTGTGGTGGTTTGTGTGCTTTGTAGTTTGCTAGTTCAGCAAATTGATCAGGTCTCTGAGCTCAAGAGGCGAGTAAAATCGGCTATTTGAATCCTTATTGTTCATGTCGCTTCATTTAACCCCGTCTTTCTCTGATATTAAGTTCAAGAATTTGTTGTAATGCTTAACTAATGAGTTGAAAATTGGATACTGAAGTAATGAATTGAAGCCACGCCCCTCCCCCTACCCCCCCCCCCCCCCTCCTCTCTTTAATTCAATTAGAATATTCAAAACATAACAGAAAGTAGCCTAAACAGAGAATTAAAAGAGAACCAGAATCCTTGGCATATTCTGTGGAATTTGATGATTAGTGTCTACTTTGGATGTCATGGGATCTCCATCAAAAGGACAATAAAGTGCCATTAATGTCCCTATGCTTTGTCCTCAAATTTATTTTTAGTTGAAAAAGCTCAGATTATAGGCAACGGTTGTTGTCTCAAAAACCTTTGATGAAAGAGTGCCAAAAAGGTTAAAGTAGCTAAATTTGTAAGCAAAGAGAATAATTACTATAGGTGAACCATCGGTTGGATTCTACCATACATAAAAGGAGTTTTCATCATTAAGGGGTAACTTTATGGTAAAAGTTACACAATTATTCATAAGAGTTTAAAATATGCATATTTAAATAATTTTTACAGTTGTCAGGTTATCCAAAGAATATCTATAGACAAATCTCCTCAAAATGTAGGATTTATAATTTTGAATGTACGCCAAATATCTGCTACAACAAGTAAAGATTAGAGGGAGATTTAGCCTTGCACGACGCTTTGCCTTCTCGTTGCCAAAAGCCATCAGCCGCCACGAGTGATGTGCCTCCCGATGTTTCCAACAATAATCGATCGCAATCGACATGTACTTAGCTTAACCCTATGCGCATGGCACCTTGTGGCGCTACTTGCACGACGCTCCGCCGTTCGTTGCCAAAAGCCATCAGCCGCCACGAGCGATGCCAGACAAAACACACAACAACCGATGGCAATGGGCAATGTACTGAGCTTCGCCCAAGGGTCATCTTTGAACCTAATATTTTCGATCAGAAGCATAAAATTTATGTATAAAAATTTACTGCTATATGAACTTTAAGTTTCAAAAATACAATGGGTTCGATCCGGGTTAATGGCTCGGGTCCATGTAGAAGGTACGAGTTATAGCACACGAAAATTTGGGAATCGGATAGAATTCCAGCTTTACGACCCTAAAACGCCAAAAAACGAGTAGCGGTCATGGCGAGGCGGTGACTATTGTTCCTTAGGATGTTTTTTATGGGCCAACAAAATGTTAAGCAACCCGGGTCCGATGGCCCGGGCCCATGCAGAAGGCGTGGGCTATAACAGCTGAAAATTGGAGAATCGGAAGAAATTCTAGTTTATGGCCCTAAAACACCAAAAATGGAGTAACGGCCATGGTGAGGCGGTGACTATTATTCCATAGGTCATTTTTTATGGGCCGACAAAATTTAGGCGATCCGAGTCTGGTGGCCCAGACCCATCTAGAAGGCGTGAGCTAGGCACACGAAAAGTTGGGAATCGGGCGGTATTCTAGTGTTATGGCCCTAAAACGTCAAAAAACGAGTAACGATCATGTAAAAGATATGGGCTATGCACACAAATATCTAGGAATAAGGCGGAATTCCAATTTTGTGGCCCTAAAACGCCAAAAAATAAGTAATGGTCATGGTGAGACGGTAACTATTGTTCCTTAGGATGTTTTTGATGCGCCGAAAAACTTTTAGGCGATCCGGTTCCCGTGGCCTGGGCCCATGCAGAAGGCGTGGGCTACATCACACGAAAATCTGGGAATCAGGGCCGAATTCTTGTTTTATGGCCCTAAAACGCCAAAAAATGAGTAACCGTCATGTCGAGGCGGTGACTAATATTACATAGGATGTTTTTGATGGGCTGACAAAATTTTAGCTGATACGAGTCCGATAACATAGGCCCACGCCTTCTGCGTGGGCTAAAGAACAAAAAATTCTAGCAATCGGGCGGAATTCCAGTTTTATGGTCCTAAAACGCCATAAAACGAGTAACGATCATGGCGAGGCGGTGAATATTGTTCCTTAGGTCGTTTTTTATGGGCCAGCAAAATTTAAGGCGATCCGAGTCCGGTGGCCTAGGCCCATGTAGAAGGTGGGGGCTATAACACAGGAAATTCGAGAATTAGGGCGGAATTCAACGTTTAGTAGGCGTTTAAAACGCCAAAAAATGAGTAACGGTCATGGAGAGGCGGTGATGGTTGTTTAATTAGAACATTTTTTATGGGCCGGAAAATTTTTAGGCGAACCGAGTCTAATGCCCCATGCCCATGGAGAAGACGTGGGCTATAGCATACGAAAATCTGGAAATCCGGTGAAATTCTAGTTTTATGGCCCTAAAACGGAAAAAATGAGTAATTGTCATGGCGAGGCAGTGAATATTGTTACTTAGGACGTTTTTGATGGCCAGCAAAATTTTAGGCGATCCGGCTCTGTGGGTCGGGCCCATGCAAAAGGGTGGGCTATAACATACGAAAATCTGGTAATCGGGCAAAATTCTAGTTTTATGGCCCTAAAACCCTAAAAAAAAGTAACGGTCATGACCAGGTGGTGACATTGTTACTTAGGAGGTTTTTAATGGGCCGACAAAATTTTAGCCCCTGCGTGGGCTATTGCACCCGAAAATATGGGAATTGGGTGGACTTTCAGTTTTATGTCCCTAAAACACCAAAAGATGAGTAACGGTCATGCCGTGGCGGTGATTATTTTTCTTCGTTTATTTTTTATGGGCCAACAAAATTTTAGGCGATCAGGGTCTGGTGGCCCGGTCCCATGCAGAAGGCGTGGGCTATAACATACGAAAATCTGGGAATGGGGCAGAATTCCAGTTTTATAGCCCTAAAATGCTAAAAAAATGAGTAATGTTCATGGCAAGGCGGTGACTATTGCTCCTTAGGCCGTTTTTGATCAGCTGCTAAAATTTTAGGCGACCCGTATCCGTGTGGCCTGGGCCCATGCAGAAGACCTGGGCTATAGCCCACGAAAATCTAGAAATCTAGACATCGAGCGAAATTTCAGTTTTATGGCCCTTAAATGCCAAACAAAAGTGTAACGGTCATGGCGAAGCAGTGACTAATGTTTCTTATGTCGTTTTTCAATGGCCGGCAAAATTTAAAGCGATCCCGGTCCGGTGACCTGAGCCCATGCAGAAGGTGGGTCTATAGCACACGAAAAATTGGAAATTATGGCGGAGTTCCAGTTTTATAGCCCTAAAATGTCAAAAACGTGTAACAGACGTGGCAATGTGTTGACTATTGTTACTTAGAATGTTTTTGATGGGCCGGCAAATTTTTTTAGGCGATCTGAGTCTGATGGCCCGGGCCAATAGAGAAGGCGTGGGCTATAACATAGAAAGTGTGGGAATCAGGGCGAAATTCTTGTTTTATTGCCCTAAAATGCCAGAAAACGAGTAACGGGTATGGTGAGGTGGTGAATATTGTTCCTTATGTCATTTTTAATAGGCCAAAAAATTTTAAAGCGATCTGGGTCTGGTAGTGTGGGTCCATGCATAAGGCAGGGGCTATAGTACACGTAAATCTAGGAATTAGGGTGGAATTTTAGTTTTAGGCGATCTAATTCCGGTGGCCTGGGCCCATGGAGAAGCCGTGGGCTATATAGCACACGAAAATCTCGAAATCAGGCGGAATTCTTGTTTTATGGCCCTAAAACACCACAAAACAAGTAACTGTCGTGTCGAGGCAGTGACTATTGTTACTTAGAACGTTTTGATGGGCCGGAAAACTTTTTAGGCATCCAGGTCCTAAAATGCCAAAAAAGTGAGAAACGGTCATGGCGAAGCGATGACGATTGTTACTTAGGACGTTTTTATTGGCAGGCAAAAAATTTGGCGATCTGTGTTCGGTGGTCTGGGCCCATGGGGAAGACGTGGGCTAAAGCACATAAAAATTTGGGAATCGGGCAGAATTCCGATTTTATGGCCTTAAAATGCCAAAAAACGAGTAACGGTCATGCGAGGCAGTGACTATTGTTACATAGGATGTTTTTGATAGGCCAGCAAAATTTAGTCCGGGCCCATGCAGAAGGTGGGGGCTATAACACACGAAAATCTGAGAATCGGGCGGAATTTCAGTCTTAGACGGGAGATCACATTTGGAGAATGAGAATCTGAATAATAAAGCCCCAGGTCCCGACGACTTCCCGGCTGCCTTCTGCCAAAGGATGTGGCCTCACACATCCTTTGGCAGGTCATCAAATCGAGAAATTCTACGTTTATCACACTTATTTCGAAGCGGGAAGTTAGCGATTCCTTCGATCTTTATCGGCCTCGCTATGCAATTATGTGTACAAGAAAAATGAAGAAATTCTTGCGAATAGGCTATGCAACCGAAAGTCATAAGTTTTATTGAACCAGATGGCGTTCGTTAAAAGAAGAGGGATAGTTTACAAGATTTTGCTATCTTGTAGAAATTTTGAGGAAATTTCACCGCTTCGCAGTTTTCTGCTAAAATAGATTTGCACAAAGCATTTGATTCGGTAAATAGAAACTTCTTTCTTGATGCTCTAAGAGACCTGGTCTTTGATCGGAAATGGATCAATTGGAAAAAACGAATGCATCTCGACTCCTTCTTTCTCGGTTATTTGCAATGGCTCGCCCTTCGGGTACTTAAAAATCAGCCATGGCCTAAGACAAGGGGATAAAGGATCTCCCTTTCTCTTCGGCATAGTTATGGAAGGGCAACCAATTCTTTTCGAAGAACGGTGCAATTGAGGAGCCAAAAAACCAATGCAGCCTCGGGAAGAAAACCAACCCGGTTACTCACATTGACGATCTCATGCTAATCACGGAAGCAAGCTCGCATTCCGCTCAAGTCCTCTTCGATCTACTTGACGACTTCACCAACGCTTCTGGTCTCAAGAAGAAAAGCAAATTGTTGATATCAGGAAAAAATATCCTACGCAGGCAAATTCCAGCATATTGGGTCTCGAAGAAGGGACAAAATATATTTGCCGATCCTTGTCCCCCAAGACCTAAAAAGAAAGTAGTTAGGCAACCTTCCATTACTGCGGCTGGCCATTCCCTATTAGCTGTTTTGGCAAACATCTTTTGATTCCAAAACCAAACACTGACTATCCCCTCCCGAGGGGAGATATAAAGGACCCGCATACTCTATAC